CAGATCGCAGGCGAGCGGGCACCCCGCCCGCCCCCCCCCCACCCCGGCCCCCCCACCCACTCCGCCCCCCAACCGCCCCCCACCCACCTTGATCATTGATGGTGTACATGTGTGTGAGCTAAGGTGTCGTTGAGATATGGGGGAGCATATGGGGAAAAGACACCCACCGGCCCCCCCAAGCCCTAAGTGTCTAAAGTGGAGTTAAAATAGAGGGGAAGGGAGCTGTGCAGTCCAGCTGCGGGCAGCAGAAGCAGCCGACCCAGGACCTGCCCAGCTCCCCCCACCCTCCAAAGCCCTATGTGGAGGAGTGGTGTGACATGGATGTATGTCTAAAATGCAGTTAAGATAATGAGGGGGGGATGAGTGGCTAATCGCCCCCCCTTCCCTCTGTGTGGTGCGGTGTGATGTCTTGGTGTGGCGTCTAACGTGTAATTAGGAGAGATGGGGGGTGAATAGCTGATCACCCCCCATTACCTATGTGTGGTGTAGGTGGATGCGGGCCGACAGGGGGGGCGCGGCGATAGTCCACAGTGCCGCAAGGCAGCGGGCGCCAGGCAAGGCGTGCCCGGACGCATGGCGCCAACACCCAGGGGGCACCACCGCCCCCCGCCGCAGCGCCCCCCTGCCCCAACCCAAGGAGGTGTCTAGGGCCTCATCTGCGCCGGCATCGCCGACGAGCCGTTCATACCCAGATACCCACATTCACCAAACACTCGCACCCCACCACACCCGCACCACCCCAACCCCGAAGATTTTCAATCGGATTTACATCTGGTGACTGAGAAGGCCACTCCAGGATGTTCCTGGATCTTTTTCTCAACCAAGCTTTGGTTGATTTGGAGGTGTGCTTGGGATCATTGTCCAAGGTGCAATATGTCAACAGAAGGCATCAAATTTCTCCTTAAAATGGCCTGGTATTTCTGGGAATCCATGATGCCAGGTACACGATCAAGATTCCCAGTTCCTGCCGCAGAAAAACAACCCCAAATCATCAATGACCCACTTCCAATGCTTGACCGTGAGGATGGTATTCTTCTGGTCAAATGCCTGGCCTTTCACACGCCAAACATACTGCTGGTCCATATGTCCAAACAGTTCCAGTTTGGTTTCATCAGTCCTTAATCTGATATCTACATCAGTCTGTCCATGAAGTCCTTACTGTATTTATTCAGTGCACGTCTTATAGTTGCCACTGAAGCACTTGTAGCAGCCTTCATCAGGTCATCCTGTAGGTGTCTTGCAGTCACACGGGGGTTTCTCTTAGTTGTCCTGACTACGTTGCTAAGGGCTCTTGATGAAATTTTGGGCTTTCTTCCACGGCCAGGTAGGTTTGCAGCTGTTCCATGAGTTTTGAATTTCCTTATTATGCTCCCAATGATATCTCTTGGAATGTTAAATGTTTTGGAAATCTTCTTATACCCAAGGCCCTTCAGGTGTGATGAAATCATCACCTCTCTCAGCTTTTGTGGAAGATCCATTGTCTTTCCCATGATTGCAGCTCACCTTGAATACCTTCATTGGTATATGCATCACAGCCGAAGCAAATGAAGGATCTTTATAGAGTTCCCAAAGGCTTAATTATGGTTCAACTCCACTTTGAGCCATAAAAACCTGCAGAAAGCTTTATAAAACAACAATATTGTATGGGGTTGAATAATTGTGACCTGGCTATGTTAACAAAATATACTGTTACACACAAATGCTACATCATTCATTTTCTGTGTTGATTTTATGTTTCACTCAACCCATAAAGACGTCATCCAAAGCAGAATCTTGCATTTTGACACTACTTTAATTGATAAATCCTTAAAAATATTTCTGATTGCAACTGTAGCACTTCTTAACTTATCGATCCAATTTTCAGATGCAGAAATGTGGAAATCCAAGCAAAAAAGGATTCATTAACGCATTAACTGTAATTGAGGAACTCAACTCCATCTGCTCAATGTATAACTTTCAAATTAGCGCCTCTGCTAGTGGTCAACCAATCAGCAAGTTCATAATAGCAATCAGCAAGTTTATAATAGCAATCAGCAAGTTTGTGCATGTATAGTGTACAGGTGTGCTTGCGTGTGTCAGTCGCATCATTCATGTCATGGCCGTGTTCTGTACTAGGGCATGGTTAGCGATCACACTAGATGCTCCGGCGCACCTCATTAAGCGGACCAGGGCATGGTACAGAGCAATCACATTAGTCACGGTACACCCATAATGCTCTGGGCCCGAGCACGCTTTCATCATCACCATGCGACTATTTGTGTTGAAGAAAACAAAGGTTGTGTTCAAAGTCGGGGGCTGCATCCTACGAAGGATCCTTCACAACTCTGCAAAAGGAGGACACATTGTTAGACTGCATTTGAAGGAGCCTTCGAAATGGGACAGCCTTGTCGCGCTACTGTGATGCATTTTTTCTTCAAATGCAGCCTTAGAATAGTGCAGCCCCTGAATTCGGACAGACGGAAGAAAAGCATTATCACACAGCACAATGGAGTTCATGATTAATGTCTTCATTTTGTGGATTATTTTGGGCGTGATGACCCATGACCCTCTCATAGGTTTATTGTGCCATTTGACAATTTTCATTTAATCTTGCTGCACGTACAGTATAAGAAGATGGTCCTGTGTCAGGGTGAGCGCCCATCTGGTCCTGTCCTTCGTGTCTCTTCCCAGTTTGGCCAGCAGGTGTTGCTGGCCATCCAGTCTGGTCACCCCTTGTCAAACCCTTTTGCCTGACTGCCATATAAGTTGGTGGGCTGAGTGTACAGTTTAGAGACTCTGAGTAACGTGTGCATAACTGCGAATGCATGGGGGGGGGGGACTTAAGCTGTTTCCACAGGTTGCGCACACCCTCTTCATCTAGATCCTCCTATAATTAATATATATAGTGAAGCACTCAGTGCTGCTCGTGGTGAAGCCAGAGAACAACGGAAGACTTGACTTGGTGTGATGCAACCCTTAGAAGAATCATCCACCCCAGTCCGTGCCAAGGATTACTTGGGCACATCTATTTTCAACACCATCTGCTGCTGCCTGCCACTTGGAGTCATTGCAATAATCTACTCCTTAAGGGTAAGTTCAAAAGACAGATAGATAAATGATAAAGATTAATAAATAATAATAAATGGGTGTCGCATTGGTGAAAAAATGGTGTCCATGGCAATTTTTATTCACAAAAGATATGCAGAGTATAAATGTAGACATTTGGAAAGACAGTATTAGTTATCGTGTTTCACAGTTTTTTTTCGTCTGGGGTTTTTTAAATTAATTTATATTCAACATTATTTTAAAAACATATTTTTTATGGTTTGCAAGGAAAGGAAAAGTCACAATTATCAAAACAATAGGGATCCATCAGCTTAGTTGCTTGGACCCTTAATTGACTGGACATAATTTTCTTTGAATAGTTTTATTTGCTTTTGATATTTGGATACTCATCAGACATTTCTGTCAGGTTAATATTCAATATTTGTAATGGCACCAATATCAAAGAAGTCTGTTCAATTTCATGAAAATGAACTTTACGAATTGCTAGTTAACGATTAAGAATGATAATTTTATGGATTAAATACTGTACCTGCTTGTAGGCGCGGGATGCAGCTGACACTGGGGACATGACAAAGGCTCAACATGCTTCGCACACAGCCAAAATCCTGAATGCTCTTGGGATCATCATTGGATTATCAGTGATTACAATCTTTATCATAATGCAAATGAAGATTTACTTCGCTATACATCACTAGAACACGGCTTGGTCGGAGTATCAGCTGGCTCTGTGATCTTACCCTGTATGCAGAAGCAAATAGGAATTTAATTCTTATTTGATAATGCAACTTGTATCCTCAATTATGACATTTCCTTCAGCTCGTATCATGCAATAAAGATCAAGTTTTATTTGTTATTATTTCTTGTTTTCAAGTAATAGTATAAATAATTCAGGAAACTAACAAGTACAAGATGTTCTAAAAATGTCAATAATGAGTGTAATTTCAGTTTGGATCCTGAAAATGTACGGTTTGTAAAAATATATATTCGCATAAAAAAGCCAAAAGTCTTCACTACACACCTAACAGACACATATTTATTTGAGACAGGAATGGGCAGTATTTATGACACATGTATTTAAGATATCTATTTCAAATGCAAATAGGATTTTGTCATTTGTATCAAAATACTTGTGTTTTGTATTTTAGTAGTAAAAAAACATTATACTTTCTGTTTAACATTTTGAGAAAAGGAGACTTTAGGAAATTTTAGGAAATGTGTTTTTGCAATTCAGAAAAATTGTAATCGGTCAGTGTAATGATGAAGGATTAGATCAAATAGGATAATAGAAGTGATTTCATACTGTCTTTTTAGTATTTTTACAATAGTTTATTTTAGTATGTGCTGTGCCTGCTGTATTTCATAGTTTATTTTGATACCCTTATAATTACGGCATTTGGTATCTTATTATAAAATACATTTCGATGTATTTTTGCACATCTCTGATTCGGGACACATAGTATCTGAAGCAGGCATTGTCAAGTTCTAACCATCTGACCTGGGAGGAGAACTAAGTAGATAACAACTTGAAGCGATAATATTAAGTAATTGTTTTATGTGTGAGTTTTAGTTTCTCACTTCTCCTTTTTTTCACATCACTTAGGAGGAATTTTGGCGGCACAGGTCCTGCCATGGTGTCTCAATGAGGTTAAATTCTACACTTTGATTTGGCCTGAACATGACAAAACATGACAGTTGAGCTCAATGAAACAATCAAGGTCAATAAAGATACAAAAATAGGTGGTTAACAACATGAGGGACAGTGTGACAATACAGGGATCAGGAAGTTATTAGGATTCAGGGAATTGGAGAACGATATTCAGAGAATGTGAGAGCAGAACAATTATTCTGCTGTGTTTTAGTTTCATTTCAGCTTTTGCTGTTGGACACAAAACCTCAAATTTGCCTCTGGAATACTTTGGTATAAAGATGAGTTCATGGTCTGTAGAACGACTGCAAGGTGCCAAGGTCTTTGGCTACAAGAAAAGCCCAAATTATCACCCCTCCACCACCATCTTTGACAGTTGATATCAGGTGATTGTGGTGACATGCTGCATTTGGTTTTTGCCAAACACACCATTGTGCATTATCACCAACCATCCCCACTTTTGTCTCATCTGTCTCAAGGATTTTGCTCCAGAAATCTTGGTTAGCTCTTATGCAAACCCAACAGTGCTGCCATGTTCATGGGAAAAATGGCCTTTCTCATGACTACCCTTCCCTGAAAGCCATACTTGTTCAGCCTTTTGCTGATCTGGCAAAACTTTAAACAGTGCTCACTTAGGTAGACACAATTTGTAGATCTCAGTCACCGTTTTTGCAAAACAATAAACACATTCTCATTTATCAAAACACATTTTGCACCATGGTGAACTTTGATGCAAAATAGAAAACACAGGATGCAAAATTTAAGCACAGCCAGCATACAGTAGTCATCATTTAAACACAATGACTCAAAAATCTTCTAGAATGTCAGATCCATCCTTGAATAGATATAACATCAAACTGATTACATGCGTCTTCCATTGCTTGAATGAGAGGTGCATGAACATATATGGCTGTAGATTATAAACCTTCCACTGCCATGCGGAGGAAAAACTCTTCTATTGGGTTTAGGAAGGGTGAGTACGGTGGAAGATAAAGACATGTAAATTGTGGATGATCATGAAACCAATTTCGGACCAGAGGAGATCAGAGGAATGATACATCATCCCAGGTGACAATGTATCACATCTCATCAATTGGATTTGCAGCAATAACAATATTACTGAGTTGGTCTAAAAATGCCAGAATGAGAGCTGAATTGAAAGGACCTGCGGTGGCATGGTGGTGGAGGACTCCATTCTGTGTGATTGCTGCACAGAAGGTAATGTTCCCCCCACGTTTCCCTGGTACATTTGAAATGGCTCTGTGACCAATTATTTTTCTTCCACATTTTCTGACCTTTGTGAGGTTAAAAATGAGGGATTTCCTCACCATCCATTTGCAAAATTCTCTGGAACACAGAAAACATGTAAGTCAAAATAAGTCTAGTCAGACAGTAGATCTAAATGTACAAAATATGCATGCAGTGACCAATACTTACCTCCATGTAGTCATGCTGCAGGTTTTCACCCGGTCTGAATTTCTTTCAAATGGGACTTTGTACAGTTGTTTCATCTGGACGTGATTTTTTTAAGGACTTAAGCCATTTAAGAGATACCTGGGGAATGTTGCCAAAAACTGCTTGGTCACTGACAATGTTATTTTGAATTTCCTTGAGTCTTATTGCATTATTGGCCAAAACCATATTTATAATGGCTTTCTTGGTCTTCTGTTAAAAAGGGGCCCCTTCCTCCTTGGTGTTCTCGACCCTCAATCCTATGTAAAAAGAGGAGATGTTTTTCACCTATGCTGTTGATGAAATGTACAGATGCCATTGTATACTGTATCTACTAAGGCATGGCTGGACTCTAAGTCCAGCCTCGCTCAATGTCAACCCATGATTTACTACATGGTCGACAAGGATTGAAAGAATTTCATTGGACAAATTTGGTCTTCTTCTATGTGTTCTCCCTCCACTAGGTCTACCTCTACCTCAACCTCTACCTCTACCTCGACCTCTGCCTTGTTCTCTTCCATGGCCTCTACCATGGGCTCTGCCTCCACCTGCTTCTCCACCATGGATGCCTCCTTTCATTCTCACTCTTCTCCTTCCTCTCATGTCCTCCATGTTTGTTGATGACAGGTTAACTCACCTGTTCCCTTTTATAGTGCCTAAACCTGATTAGTGTGTCTATAATTAAGCACCTAAGTGTTTGTACACCTGGTGGTTGTGTTTAACCAACTGGTTCATGGGTGTGGTTGTTTGAAAGCCAGTGCTTTGAAATGGACAAGTGTGTTTAGTGATTTGCAAATCGCTGTGTGTTGAGTTTTGCAAGATGTGTGAAGCTGACAATGTGCTTAGTGTTGTGCAAATCTGGGCCATTGATTTGCTAATTGAGTGTAAAGTTATGCCAAATATGGGAGACTTTTTCTTTTAGTGTTTAAACAATCAGAAAAAAACTGTAACTGGTACTGTTTTCTGTTGCTGTAGTGTGTAACTGCTCAATAGTGCTTATGTAACTGACCAGTTTGATGTGTGATCTGAAAGCAATATTTGCTTTTGAGAGAAAATAATATAGTTTTGAGAAGATTGTTTGATTTTGCAAGTTTGGTTTTGTGAGTGTAGCTTGAATTTTAGCATTTGTGCTTGGTATTTTGAGAAAAGGAGAGGAGATTTTAGGAAAAGCGTTTTAGCAATTCAGAAAAACTCACATAGAGAAATCCATTATATGTTGTATTATCTGAGGCTTGATTTTTCATACTGGTGAGGACCAGATTATTGTTATTTTTGCCCTGATAGTTAAAGCAATACAAGTGAAAGAATTTCTTTTTTTCACCTCCCTGTAGCGGGGTGGCATTGTAATGCAGTGGTGAGCATGCCAGTTTCATACCTCTTGGAGTATTGTTCAAGTATTAATTAAAGTAAAATAACAGTGTAAAGCCCAGAGTACCTGTCTGCGGGGTATAAACAAGGATGTATCAATTCAAGGATGTTACTTCAAATTGTGCAAAACAAGAATACCATTTGAGAAACTACAAAGCAATACCTTAGCATTTCATAGTAGTAATACAATAGTCTGAGGTTGGTGAGAAAAGAACAGACCAGTTTTTCCACCACATAAACTTCCTGTATCACTTCGTACATTTCCAAAAAGAACTATGTGGAAATACCAAAATGAGGTTAAATATTACAGTTTTTTCTGATGGCTTAAGCACATTTTTGTAACTATTGGCTATTTTTGCAAAACTTTATGCCAAATCAGCAAAACATTGTAGGTCCCTTGCAAAAGCTAATTTAACTCTTCAAACCTTTGTAAAAATAGTATTTTTGTACCAATCAGTTAACACAAACCATCATATTAATAAGCACACAGTGCGCCAACTACACATTGATGGTATGAATGGAAAACACATCTGTTTTTTGCTTTCTCTGAGCACAAGGTATGTCAATTTGAGGTCATACTTTTGTCATAAATAGTTCTGTAAATACACAGGGATTCAAATTTCAAGTATGAATGTTTATTCACACACATCAAAACAAACACAAGACAACATACAATTCACTGAGAGAGAGAGAGAAAAATCTGTCTTGTCGTCTCTCTGGGTCCGGCCACAGAATTTCATCAACATCGCATCCATGCAATGTTTTCTAGTCCAAGGCACCGGGGAAAATATCTCCTGGAGTGTCTTATCCAGGCCTGACATGATGCCTGGTCAATATCCTCGCATGCCTCCTCCATTGCCTGTAAAAGAGTCATGCTTTGATGAGGATGACGGTCATAGACCTTCCAGCGCCAGGCAGAGAAGAACTCTTCAATCGGATTCAAGAATGGAGAATAAGGCGGGAAGTTGAGTACAGTGATGAGTGGGTGATCTGTAAACCAGTTGTGGACCAAAGCAGCCCTATGGAAACTGACATTGTCCCATATGATGACGTACCTGGTCTGCTCTGGTCTCTGAACATTAGTGACATATAATGTAGACTGTCCAGGAATGTAATAATGTGTGCAGTGTTACATGGGCCCAGGGTTGCATGATGGTGAACAACACCATTTTGACTTATAGCTGCACACATAGTTATGTTACCACCACGTTGTCCTGGGACATTGGTTATGGCACGGTGTCCAATAATGTTCCTGCCAATTAAAAAAAAGGTGTATATGGTTGGGCCATTGTACATGGCCTTTAAGGTTAAAGGAGGGCTCACGCCAATGCTGGGGTTTGAGCCCAATGTATCTCAGAAGGTTGGTGAAAGACCTCCTGCACCACACCCCG